TTGTGATTTCTAAGGTTAAAATTCAAATGACGCTTTAGAGTATGGTAAGCGTTTTCTAGGGGCTCTAATAGTGCCTAATTAATTGATTATTTGTTATACTCCTCGTTCTTCACGCTCTTATCAGATTCGTCAATCGCTAGTTGCTGAATAAGCAATAGTGGGATGATGTAGCCGGTGAAATAACAAAACATCAACTCAACACATTTGAAGATTGCAATCCCTCCAACGGCTTAATCCTTCTTTTCCAAACACCACTATGTCAACTTTCATACCTCGTGCAGCTCCTCGAGCTTTCCGCTCAATCCGCGCAGCTGGTCCACGCCTTTTGCGGCCTCAGAAGCCCTTTACCCCTCCATCTCGCCGTTTCCTGGCTACCTCAACAGAGCAACCACGATTGAGATTAGGATCAGTTGCGCCCAATTTCAAGGCCAAGACGACACATGGCGATATCGATTTCCACGAATTCTTGGGCAACAGCTGGGCCATCCTGTTCTCCCACCCGGCTGACTTCACGCCTGTCTGCACGACGGAACTGGGCGCCTTTGCAAAGATGAAGGATCAATTCGAGAGCAGAGGCGTCAAGATGATTGGCTTGGTACGAGCTCTCACCAGTATAAGAAAGAAGTGCACTGATATATGGTCTGCAGTCTGCCAACGGTCTCGATTCCCACGCGAGATGGATCGAAGACATCAACGACATCTCCCAGACGAACCTCCAATTCCCCATCATCGCAGATCCAAACCGAGAAGTTGCCTTCTTGTACGACATGGTCGACGCGCAGGATCTGCAGAACATTGACGAGAAGGGCATCGCGTTCACGATCCGCTCGGTGTTCATCATTGACCCGAGCAAGAAGATTAGGTTGATGATGATGTACCCTGCCAGTACTGGACGGAATACCAGCGAGGTGCTGAGGGTTATCGATTCGTTGCAGACGGCGGATCAGAAGGGCGTTACGACGCCTATTGATTGGCAGGTGGGCGACGATGTGATCGTACCGCCGACGGTATCGACGGCCGATGCGAAGAAGAAGTTTGGGCAGGATAACGTAAGAGAGGTAAGGCCATACCTAAGATACACCACTCTCTAGTAAGGCTTCGTACTTTGTATGTGTATGGACAAGAATAGACGGCGAGCCTCCTGCGAAATCCGACTTGGCTTGTTACGTCTTCCGGCTGTATTGAGTAGCGATTCTCCTTGCCACCGATCTCCAGACTATGCCAGTTCAGGCACGTATTTCAGTGCTTTCAAATCAGTACTCAATTTCCGGCACTTCTATACCCTGTGGCAAATGTACTATTGATCTATTGTAACATGTTTGATAGCGTGTCTGGAATAGCACATCCAGTCACGTCCTGTATCTAACTATCAAAATGCCGATTGACTTTGACGACAAGTCAAGACACGGAAGCTGGTAGAGTCTTCTCGAATATCTAGACACCGAAGTTGCCCAGAGAAGTGTCACAGTCATATACATGAGCGTCTCCGTATTCTTCTTCATTTCCACAGAAATCAAAGTCTTCATGGGATCTCTCTGTTAGTGACTGAGCTGATCACGTATTAATGACTCTATTCACGCCACGAAGCATTCTTCACGCGCGTATGTGTACAGATGCAGAACGGACAACGGTCTGCTCAGTTCAAGATAGAAAGATCAAGCCACGCGTTTGAGATTTTCCGCCTTCCGGAATCGATTCACGGCGATCGAAACAAACCGCAGAGAGCTTTTCTTCCTGCACTAGGTATTCCTCTGGAGATCACTCGTTAATGTTTCGTCGCCTGCGTTTCTCAATCGGGGTTATCCCCCTGAGACCTTCTTTCCCTTTTCCTTTAGCGAAGGAAGAGCAGTCATCGATTAACTTCCTCGATACGCTATTTGAACAACTCATCATCCACTCAAACGTCGCCTTGATCTCTGACTTTTTTTTCCCGCCTGTGTATCTTTCCAGAACTTCTCTTTTTGAACATGGATGTCGCGCTCGTCTTCCAGCAATGGTCGCATGTCGTCGTTGTGTATTTATGTATTTGGCGTGGTTTCGATCCAGGAGCAAGTGAGGCGATGTTCGCGGTTGAATCGCAGACCTGGGATGAACAGCAGGAGTAGAGAGGTAGAGGTTCGGCGGTTTCAATGGTGAGAGAGGGCAATCGTGCGAGTGAGTCATGGAGGAGCATGCAGGTCAGGATACGGAAGCGAAAAAGGAAAGTACCGGTAATGCTGCGAGATGGCTCGTGTCCATGATCCGGGAACGGATTCCAATATCACAGACTAGCCTCCTGCCTATGGACAATCATGCCCGACGGAGCCTTCGTCAGGTCACCAAGATATGATTTTTAGTTCCTAAAATGACAATTCCTGGATATCCTGTCCTTTCTTTTATTTAGACAACGGCATCCTGCGCGGCCGAGTATCGCTTCCGAGAACGGCCATCTCTCATATCATTTCCATGCTATGGTATCGACAGATATTGGGATTCGCCAAATATATTTGCGGTGAGCATACAACTTCCCAGCCATCTAAAGTGTTCTCGATTACACCAGGATCACATTATTGTGGTGTTTGGTTATTGATTGATGCCCTGATATGGATAAGCGAAACCTCGCGTAGCAAGCACACTTGCTAGGAGGTGACTTTACTTTGCTACCCATTTGTTATTTACAGATATCGCTCTCGACTAGCAGATTTGAATCTTCCATATATTGCCAAATATGGCCCGGCAAAGCCTGTTCGTAATTCTATGATCTCATGGCGACTATTGAGGATTATAAATACTTTGTAAACCTCACTCACACGCAATAGACCCTCCACTGCTCTTTGAACAGTACGGAGTATGCGCTCACCGTGCGAAATTCGGCATAGCACATCGATATATGTTGAGCAGCCCATGGGGCTTCACAAGTCACTGCTATTCGTGACCAAAGGCCAAATAACGCGATCAAAAATGTTCTGCTGTCCACGTGATGATTCTATTCCATCATGGAAAATGCCGCCCCATCAAGTTACGATCTAGTTTCAGAAGTGCCCTTTCCGCCCGTTATCTTCTCATCTCATAGTAATAGCAGGGAAAAACCTCGGTCCCGCGAACCCCTTTGCTACCACGCTCTGTATATCGATATTGCTCGATGAGCTATGATGTGGGCTCCACATTTTCAACAGAATGAACCGTCCACTGACGGGCGGATCGAATTTGACAGTGCATTTGCTCTTATCCCTCTCGATAAAGAATCTGGCGTGAGGTGCCATAAGCTCACCTCCTACGGCTCTGACTGCTTCCTGGGTGGCGATTTGAGATGCTTCTTCAGCTTCTGCCAATGTAATGTTGCTTGCTGTTTCTCGGCGCCTGAGACGATGTGCCCGACCCATGCCGGCAATATAGTCTACATGCCACTGCGCTGCCGCAGTGTCGACATCTTCTTCGCTGGTGTCGGGATCCTCGAATCGGATGGTACTCATCACTCGGTGAAGTGTGCGATGCCGGGATGATTGAGCCGGAGGCTCGTCGTCCTCTGTGTCGCTGCATTCTGTTGTTACTTGGAACGGGGGTGCGTTTTCTGTGAACTCGAATGGTATTTGTGCGGTCCGGTAATCACATTCCTCGTCTTCCAGACCTATGTGGTACAATCGACGTGCGCGGACCTGAGCTGTTGTCATGGTGCCATCACCATCATGTTGGAGTGAAGTGACTGGTGGTAGCTCGTTCGGCCGTTGGGTTCCCAAGCGCCTTGGCTTTGCTGGAGAATATTGTATCTGATATTGGGCTGTGCGGGTTAGAAGATCATCGGACGTCATAGAGATGAAGACCATTCCTTCCTGAACACTGTGAGATTGTTAGTATATGAGCTGCTGCCACCTGGGCATGTCAAGCCTTACGGAGCTGTGTAACCAGAGTGGGGCGCCTTGATGATGAGTTCTTTCAAAGAGAAGGCAGTGCCTCCTTGATGCCTAAGAACCAGATTACATCGATTACTCTTTGTGCAGTAAACCGTCGAGTCGTTTTTCAAGACGTTCTCGGCAGCATAGTTGCCTCCATGCTCGGAAAATATTCCTCCATCACAGCTAACGATTTCCATCTTGAGCTTTCCTGGTTCCACTTGTCCATATCTCCCGTAGCTGAAGCCTTTGAACCCAGATTCCATTTTCTCGTTTTCAATTTTCCTGCGTTTGGCCCTCCAATTGTGTTCGGCGTCGGCTCCTGGGTGTTGATGTGAAGGTTCCAAGGAGGGAGATGAAATATTGGGCACAGGATCATCCAAAAGAGCTCTTAATGTAGAGCTAGCCTGCTCAAGTTGCCTACCAGCATGTTGTAGATCAGCAAGGCCATTGCTTGCGCTGCTCTCCCCGAAGGTTCTATTCCTCTCCACGTTTCTTTCGTTCATTGCCAGTCGAGACCTGCCACGTCTCGCAGTCATTCCAGCTATTCTCGTTGCAGGTCTTTGGCGTGGTGTTAGTTCGGCTGATGGATTGGATGGCATGACGAACAGAGGCGAGCCTTCTTGCTGCTCCTCTCCTTGATGTTGCCGCCTGCTCCTATCCCCTTCCTGCTCCTCCATCGTAACTTGTTCTCCTCTTCTACGGGCGTGAAAACGCTCTATTGCCCTGAATAGCTCGCCAGAAGGGCTGATATCGTGCGAGGACTGGGTGTTGTCCAGTATCTCTCGTACTATCCGGGCTGCCGTCTCTCTGTGTGGATCGGAGGCAGGGGGGTCATCAAAGTTACCAGACTATGGTCAGAAACATTTAGTAGGGGTTCCTTTCGGGACGGTATAATCCTCTTTCCCTCGAAGGTAGGGCGCCCCAATATGAACACAAGTCTCGGGACAAGGAGCAGAGGAGGCTTACCATCAATGATAATGGCCTCGGCATATGGTAATGGCAGTGCGGCTGAGAGGCTGTTGTTCACAGGTGATCGTCGACTGCAGCAGAGGCAACAAATATAAATATAAAGAGCTGTACTTATGCAGAGCGAGTAAGTTCGGCGAAGTGGTTCGGGAGATGTCGATTTGCGCAAGGGGAGAGGCGTCGCTGCCACTTCTTTGATCAGTTGACGAGTTGACGTTGACTCCTGTTCCGGTGTGCCTTACCGTACTTTGAGTGTAAGTGCAGCGTGGGGTTGGACAGCTGCAATTGGCCAAGAGACTTCGGCGATTAGATAGGGGATAGTCGCGTTCGCGTTGATCATTTTGTTTGCTGATCGACACCGCGAGCTCCTTCTACGCTCATTTCACTTCGACTGTACAACCTCACCTCACCTCAATATCAGTCGGTAGCCGGTAGCCAGGCTGTGGCAGCTCTACTTCACCGTGAACTGTTGAGCCGCAGTCCGAACAGCTCAACGAAGGGACGCTCCAACAACTAGGCGCATTTCAATCTCGAAACTCTTCATCGATTCAACTGCCTGACTCCCTCGACGCCGCAACAATAATGGAGGCTGTCACAGATGCACCCGCTTTGCCTGCCCAGGAGCTTTCAAATCCTCCCATTGCCCCCTCAGTAGAAGCTGGTATCAGCGCTGGTAACCCC